TGTCTTTTGTTGTTAATGCTTTCTATAACCAGTCTGTGAGTTCACTGATGTTTTCTTCTGTAATCGCCAGTGTAATTTTTTTTATATACATTAGATGTTATCTATATTATCATCTATAGTGATTCAGTTTGGGTCTTTTGAAATGTGTGTCTGTCTGTCTGTGTATGTGCTTGTGTGTATCTGTGTTCTTGTGTGTGTGTGTTAACATTCTGAGCATGCAGAAGGCAGTTAAAGCCTTCTGAGTGCTCACTGTGATGACTTGGGGTCCATTTGATTCATTGCTCTTGTGCGTCCTCCCTTCTCCTTCCTCACTTTGCACGGTAATTGTTCCAGTGGGTACTAGGGACTGTTGTCTGTGTTCTGTTTTATTCTTGAAGACACCACTGCTTCTGGAAGCGCTGTTAATGCTTAGCTCACCCCTGTAATTCTTTATCTGAGCTCCTATTCTCTAAGTGGACTTCTCAAGGAGCAGAAAACACATCTGGCTAATTTGGGGATCACTAGAGAGCTGGATTGGAGCTCTGTAGATGTTTGTTGAGTGGTGCCGCCTTATTGGTAATGGAGACTACAGGTAAATGTGTGTTTCTGAAATCTTCGCAGGGAAGGGCAGTTTGCCCTGCAGGACATCTTCCTTTCCAGCTGCAGCTCTTCGGGAGCTGTTAACATTAGCGCCTGCCCTGCCTTTGTGGCAGGGAACACTTCACAAGAATGCTGTCACGCCTTGTTCTATTAGGATCAGTCTAAAAGTCACTCGGGGGAGTTTATTCTTGGTGATTTGTCCTGGTTGTTTTCTAATCTGCTCTCAATGTGAAAAATTATTGTGGAATGATGGAAAAAGTCTTTCCAGCCATCTATCCTTTTGTTTAATTTCTGCGCAGTTTAGTTCTCACAAGGGCCCTTAATCCAGTGTATAATTATGAAGACAATGGATGCATTTTAAGGTTGAGTTTCTTCACTATTTTTCTTTCTCAAAGCATACAGAATTGTATCATATGTTGACTTTATCTTTCAAAGATTCAGAAACTGAGAAATTAGAAAGTCAAAATATGTCCCACCCCTGACTTCGAAAGGCCCCAGTAGGTCCAGTACCTTGGAACCTGACTGCCCAGGGTGCAGCCATTCTCCTGCCAACTGTGCGCTCGTAGGCAAGAAACCCAGGCTCTTCAAGCCTAGTCGTCCTGTCCACAAAGAGCTGTCATCATAGTGTCTCCTCGGGTTGTTGGGCCGTAGGACTGGCTATTAGGAAATACTGTAGTCTTCTCTCGTGAGTGCTGCGAAAGCTTTGCTGCGAGCTCGGAATGCGGGCAGACAAAATAAAAATACCGTCTTGCTCCATCTTTCAGCGTTTTATCCAGTCTACCATTTCCAAGGAGGAAAACCCATTTATGAACAGTCACTGTATTAGTGACAGTGCTAGTATGCTGTGGTTTAGAAGCCAGTTGAGCACTGAGGGAAACGAAGCCTTCCTGGCTGCCTTCGGGTCCTCAATGCCGCGGTGGCATCAGCTGCATGCTGACCTCACTGGGTCGCGGTCAGCAAATGTCCATACTGGGATCCTGACCTGGGATCTCACTTTTAGTCAAATCCTATAGTTTCTTCCATTCAACCTCAGATTCTGCCTCTCCCCACTGCCAAGGGACTGCTAGGGAGCTTGCTTGGAAACAGTCATTTCGTGGGACACTTTCACACCATCCGTACAGCTTGCAGCCTTACTGAGTTCCTTTCTAACTTAACACCCCCATTGTCTGTAGCATTTCAGTTCCACAGACGTCTGGGGTGTATAGAATAGTCTCAAGTCGTTAGAGACGAACTTGATTTACCATTCCTTTTCGGTTGTTCAGGCTGCCTGTGTCATTATTAGCGTTTGGACATTTTCCATTTAGTGTCATCTGCCTGGGTTGTTGTCATTCCCACGTCTCATGGCTCAGCTATTAAGAGCATAAGTCATTGAAACGGTTTAATCAGCAGTGCATAGCTGGCTGTGTTTTGTACATAGAAGACTTGGCTAATGGGCTTTTGAACTTTATGTTGACTTATTTCTTAATTTAGTCATTGTGCCGGCTACTTTTATGTCAACTTGACACAAGTTAGAGTCATCTGGAAAGAGAGAACCTCAGTTGAGAAAGTATCTGCAACAAATTGTTCTGTGGATAAGGCCTTGGTGCATTTTGTTGATTGATGTTTGGTGTGAGAGGGCCCAGCTCACTGTGTGCCACCCCTGGGCAGATAGTTTCTGGTTGTATCTGAAAGCAGAGTGAGCAAGCCATGGCAGGAAGCCAGTAAGCAGCATTCCTTCATGTTTCCTGCTTCCGTTCCTGCTGCAGGTTCCTGCCTTGTGTTTTCGCTCTGACTTTTCTTCATGACGGACTGTAGTTGGGACGCGTAAGGTCCCTTTATTCCCCAAGTTGCTTTTGGTTGTGGATTTTATCACAGCAATGGAAACCCTAAGTGCACCAGTTAACTTGGGCGACCGAATGCTGTCCTTGGGGGGCTTTTAAACGGTGTCACGTCCTAGCTGTGTCTGTTTCTAGTTGAGGGTTTGTCAGAGTCACAGGGAGATGAGGCACATGAGTCCAAAATCCACATCTCATCGTTACCATTAGACTTACTCTCAATCTAAACCAGTCCTGGGCTACAGCAGGAGATTGGCAACTGTCAAAAGGGCATCGGAGGCACACACATATCCCACCTTCCACTCTGGAGAATCAGCACCCTGCAGGTATGCATGGCAGTGGTTCTGTGGGCGTCTGAAGAGGTGGCTTCGGTTGTGCAGGCCACACTCCACCAAACAGCAGCCTGAGTAATGAAAATGACTTGTTGTGAGATTGAAGATTAAGGAAAGGTACACTGTGACCGGTCACAATTTCTAAACAAATCTCCCTGACTGATTGGGACCTGACATTGCCAAAGCTGCTGCTATTACTGAACATGTGGGGAAAACAAGCCCAGAGAAGCCGGTGAGGTTTGGAATGCTTGCCTTAGAGTTGCCAGTTCTCTCCAGAGCTCAATGGGCGGGCGTGAAGGCAGGTAAGCTGCTCTTAAACTGTGCCCACCATGTCACCTAACAGCCCCTGCTGTACTCAAGTCACAGCAAGGCTCTGGTAGTTAGCAAAACAAAGGGTCCTTTAGCCATGTGTAGTGGTGGATTTTTCCAGCTCTTCAGACATTATCTCTTATAAGTCCTTAGCTGTAAGAAGCAGAGAAAGAACATTTCTTTTAAATTTAGCAAGGAACATTTCTGTGCATATGTGCTCTGCCACATCTACACTTAGGTGGTAATAGAAATACCATGGAAAAGCAAACCATAGGCTTTTAGCACCATGGGCTTGGGCTTCCTTCTCTCATCCCTCCTGGGGAGATGGTTAGGAGAACGAGGGATGTCTTCAGTCTGAGTTGATAAGCTTGCTTGCAATAAAATGTCAGTTCTTTTTTAGGCTTAGTATCACACTATAATAAATGTGAGTGTAAGCAATTGTGCGAGCGCTTTCTAAGCACTGCTTCCATCCACGATCATCCGCATTATTTTACGTGGTAAATGCCAGTGAAAGCTGATGAGGAGGCAGCGCCATTTGCGTGTTGTGCATTACTCAGTGTGGAGTCCAGCAGGCTTGCTCAGTGGCCAGAGAAACAGATTCGGTCTCCTAGATCCCACAGTGACTCTCCCCAGACTAGGAGAGCAGATGTCTTTAAAATGGGTATGAGATAAGAATTCAACAGTCTGGCTACCACAAGCTGGACATGCCAGGGAAGTAAGCGTCTTTGCCATTTTAATAGGCTCTTATTTTAGGATGCTGCTCCTTTGTTGTCCTGGTATAAGTGAGAACCATATCAATTAAGACATACCCAGCCAATTATGACTGTAATTATTCAGCCACAAATAAGGCTGCACTTCTGGGTTCTAGAGCCATGCATGTGCAGACAAGCCCTCAGGCAGAGAAGTGCCTGAATTTTAAAGTCCCCCTCATGCCTCACGTGCGTGCATGATGCACGGTTACATTCACGTATGACTCAGCCTTGCGCGTGAGCCCTGTCATCTCCGTATGACGTAGTCATGCCAACCCTCTGTGTGCGTGTGCTGGGCAGGTTTTAAAAGCTGGACTGACTCTCTCTCTCTCTCTCTCTGTCTCTCTCTCCACACTGATTCCCCAGGCCTGTACACACCCTCTAATAAACTCCTAAGCGGGTTTGTTGCGTGTTTTGTGGTTCCTTCTTACTCGTGCCAGGTAATTTCAATGACAGGATGTATGGTTTTAAAAACATTGATTATCAAGAAATTGTCGTGGAAGAAATGCAGAACTAAATAATGGGCATGGGGAGCTGAGGAAGCCCTGAATGAATGTGTTCTTCACAAGAGCACCACTATGTCAAGGAACTGGTGCCTCAGACCCCTTGGGAACAGACAAAACCTTCCTTGAGGTGAGGCTCAAAGGAAGCCTTCCTGTGATCTGAGTTCAGATGTTGGTAGTGTGTGCAGCAACCTCCGCTGTGAATGCAGCCCGAGACTCCTCCTCTGAGACCTCCAGCTGAGGCTAGCTAGCTCCTCCCTCTCTGCTACCTCCAGCTGA